CATGGAGATTCCTGTCTAACCTCGTCTGTCAGCCTGTCCATCACCATAGCGAATAAGAAGGGGCACAGAGCTGACCCCTGGTGAAGTCCCATCTCCACCTTGAATTCCTCACTCACACCTACAGCACGCCTCACCGCTGTCTTACAGTCATCATACATGTCCTGCACTGCTCTAACATACAATACTTCTCTGTCACCCCAGACTTCCTCATACAATACCACATTTCTTCTCTGGGCACCCTGCCATACGCTTTCTCTACATCTTCAACGACACAATGCAGCTCCCTCGGACCCAGGGGTGGGCAAACTTTTTAGCTCGGGGGCCACATTGATTTCTAAATTTGACAGGTGGGCCGGGTCAGCACAAGATATGGTACATATAAAAAAACGTATATGTTGACAGTCCATACCAAACATCAACAGAACAAAAGCATTCAAGTATTACCATACTTTTTTTTATGAGAACAGTGAGATAACTATGGTATATGTCCTATATGAACGTCCAAGTACGGTATGTTAACAACATACATTGGTGACAACACAAGCAACAAAGTGCAACAATATATTGTCCAAAAACTGCGGCATACAGTACAGGTACAGTATATGAGAAAATATAACAAAGGTAGGACTATTTGCTCCAAAATGAGACGAGTAAAAGACCTGGTGGCTTTCTTTCCACTCACTCACTGTCTCGAACTCGACCTCCCCTCGATCACCACACAAGACAGCTCAGCTGATGTCGTGCTTCGAACTTTTGAAGCCAGCCACAGGACGCTCCGAAGTATTCAATGCCCATAGTTAGCGTTATGGAACTCGCTTTCTCTCATTAGCGGTCCAGCTTGCGGAAGGTTTTTAGCACGATAACAGCCAAACCATTTCAGGAAACGTTCATTTACTGGACTGTCCGTCGAGCCGCAAGCAATTCACTCTGAGCATGGAAATAGCCCGAATCGGACTGAGCAAGAATCGCTTCCTCGTTTTTCAAAGTCTCGTAGATTTGAGTCTTCCAGACTCCAAGCGTCTCCTGAATGTTTCGTACTTCGTAACCCGCTTCGTTTAATGAGATACACTTCATTTTCTCTTCCGCGGCCATTACCGCTCCTCTTTGTTTGGATGCCATGCTCTAATTTCGGATGTAAAAATGTTCGCAATTCCAGTAAAACTCACTGCAACAAAGAGTCGCTTGCATGTCGCCGTTTTGGATCCAATGACAGGAAATAGCGGTGCGGATGCATCTATTTCGTCGTATCGAGCGGGACTTACTTGAGTTAGTGCTACTGCGGGCTTCCGTATCGTCTCCCCCTCCCTCCCTGTGCTCTGCGACTTCAAGTAACTGCGCCACCTGGCGTTTAAATGCCTGTATTACAAGTCCAAATGAAATGAATGCAATAATTTACATCGAGCCTTAATTGTGTACTGTACCAACCTTCGGCGGGCCGGATTAAAAAGACCAACGGGCCGGATCCGGCCCGCGGGCCGTAGTTTTAGGATGTTGATAGAGGTCAGAGTCTGACCTCTATCAACATCCTAAAAGCAAATACTGCATCTGTCGTACTCTTTTTTTGCATGGAACCATACTGCTGCTCACAAAGGCTCACTTCTGTTCTTAGTCGAGCTTCAACCACTCTTTCCCCATAGTTTCATCAACTTCATTCCTCTGGAGTTACTACAACTCTGCACATCTCCCTTTTTCTTAAAAATGGGCACCAGCACATTTCTCCTCCATTCCTCAGGCATCTTCTCACTATCTAAGATCTTGTTGAACAACCCAGTCAGAAACTCCACTGCCACCTCTCCAAGACGCTTCCATACTTCTATAGGTAAATCATCAGGCCCAAGTGCCTTTCCACTCTTCATCCTCTTCAGTGCCCTCCTCACTTCATCCTTGCTAATCTTTGCTACTACTGGTCCACAACAGTCACCTCTTTTCCTCTTTGTTCTTTGTCATTTTCTTCATTCATCAACTCTTCAAAGTACTCTTTCCATCTTCTGTATATAAATTTCTCCTTCTCCTCCAACTCACATCCTACCTGTGGAGCATACCCACGAACAACATTGAACATCACACCTTCAATTTCTAGCTTCAGACTCATCACTCTATCTGACACTCTTTTTACCTCTCTGACATTCCTAACAAACTCCTCCTTCAAGATAACTCCTCCTCCATTTCTCTTCCCATCTACACCATGAAAGAACAACTTGAACCCCGATCCTAAGCTTCTAGCCTTGCTACCTTTCCACCTGCTCTCCTGGACACACAATATGTCTACCTTCCTCCTCTGCATCATGTCAACCAACTGTCTACCCTTTCCTGTCATAGTTCCAACATTCAAAATTCCTCCTGTCAGTACTATACGCTTGTCGTTCCACTTCTCTCCCATCCTACGGACACACCTTCTCCTTCTATGACTAACAGTAGTCGATTTTCCACCGACACCCCGTGGGTTAACAGTGCCAATGGTGGTCGTTGTTAACCCGGGCCTCGACCGATCCGGTATGAAGTTTGAAGGTTTGATTCGCATGTTTGTTTTGGCCAAAATTTTACGTCAGATGCCCTTCCTGACACAGCCTTCAGGCTTGGGACCAGAACAATAAGACACTAGCTTGTGCCCCCTTATGGCGACATTTATCTATCTATCTATCTATCTATCTATCTATCTATCTATCTATCTATCTATCTATCTATCTATCTATCAAACAATATTGAACATATAAATGTAAGTATATACATATCTGAATCTATCTTTCTATTTTATTTGTAGAAAAATCTTATTCGCGCTCTTTTTTTTTTTCTTAATACATTGCCTCAGTATCGAATCAGTTCTTGCTATCTGGAGATACTAAAAACCAAACATTCAGATGAAAAAAAAAAAAGGCGTGATCGGGACATCCCCAGCCAAAACACAAAGTGAACTAAAGTTTGCATCATTTCGCTTACCGTTCTGGTGAACAATCCACTGATGCCACAAAAGACCAACAACAGGTGAAGACGAAATGCCATCTGTGCAATGAGAAAATATTCACATTAGAGTTTTGGATTTAAAAGTAACAACAACAACGACGATGCTCTATTGAATTTAGACGACAAAATAATACTTTGCATTTATTAAAAACATCAAAAATTCAGATGACATCGGCATTAAAATGGTAACGTATGAAAATATCTGTGAAATTTACCGTCGCGATGCTTAGCTGAGCAAATGAAGTCAGGGCAGAAATTAGCAGCCTTTCAAAGTGCCAGCACTTGGCTGATGTTGTCCAATAACTTTAACAGTCTTGATGACGCATGCTATAGCAATGTACGGTATACACTCTTTGCTGCACTTCTGACACGCCTTCACAAACACCTTTAAAAAAAAGGGTATGGCTAAAAGAAGTTGTGTTTATTTCTCAAGACTTCATTCACATTATTGTCGTAAATCAACTCTTTTGTTGATCTGCTTGGAGTAAACAGGAAGGTTAACCGTGTAATGCCTGACCCATCAAGGAATAGCCAGAAAAATC